AGTTTGGAATACAATTGAAATCAAAATATACTGTATACCTTTCTTCAGTTTCACAATCTCCACTTTATCCTTTGCTATGAGACATTTTTGTGCGGTACTTTTGCCACTGTAAGAAAATAATTCAAGCACAAACTGCAGGGGCTGGTTTTATCTTAAGTGGAGCAGGTTCTGCCACAGAACATTTAAGGCTCATCATTCCAGAAAGTTAAATACAACCATATGTCATGTTCAACCCAAACCATAATGCCATAAAGACTTAAGTTGTATGTAATGTTTGAAGTGTACCTTACCTTTTTTTGCAGAAGCTGCTTTGACTTCCTTTTTTGGCACTGTGACCTCTGAAATAGTGAATAAGTGCAGGTTTAGGCTCATCGACAACCATCTCAAACATGGAAGAATCTGAGTCTGATGAAATGTAAAAAAAACAAAGCAGCACCTTTTTTCACAGGCACTATTTTGACTCTCGGTTTGACCAGAGACGCATTTCTGGGAGCGCCCTCTCGTTCTGCAAGCAGCAAAAAACTCAAAATTAAAAAGACACACACAACACACATGTTGTTGCAGTTCAAGATTTTGTTTATTGTACTTATATTATTATAACATTCACAAATGATACCTCTTTTCATGTTGACTGTTTTGGCCTTTTCTTTTAGAGCAACAGCTTCTGTGTGTCAAACACGTAACCGGGGAAGTTTAATCTCCATTGCTTTTAGGTAATTGAAAACATCAACATGAACAAAAAACGTTTGTGTTACCTTTCTTAGCAGGACCCGCTTTTGCTTTGTCCTTTGAAACGTCTGTGTGACCAAATAGGATAGACAATGTTATTTTTGTTAGTTTTACATCAGAAACATAAATGCGTAATATTGTTCTAGCAAAGCCTTTTCTTCGTAGAAGAAGTTAAGTATTTTTATTTCTCGAAGAAACATATTTCAGTCAACTGTAAACAGTGTCTTTATAATCTCAGTTGACAATGTATCAACATACCGTGGTATGGCCAAAAATCCACATCCCGGTATTAAGAAAGATTCTGACGGTATCCCGGTATATCACCTACTGATATCACATATTGCTTTTTTAAATAAACACATTCATTCATTGACCCCGAAAATAACCGTGGCTACCCGAACAGCTGTTCTCCGCTCACTGGCCAACTTACGCGAAACTGGCCAGTGAGTTAGCTAGTTAGCATGTTAGCTTGCTGTGGCTGCCAGTGTTGCCACCAGTGACTCGACAGACTTTGCAATAAATATTTTTCTAATCTAACGCAATTTACGTTGGATTTTCCCAAACCAAAAAACTTTCGAAACAGACTCTTGGGCACAAGTTGTGTTGATGCATCTCTCTTCTCTCGTTGTTCGTCCAGTATCCCGCTTTTCCGTGTTTTCATGTAGCAACCGAGTTAGCGTTACTTCGTGGTGCGGACGATACGGTCAACGAAGAGGTTGAAGAGGAACCAACGACTCAGACCCAAGTCTGATGTTTTTAGGTGAGAAATTGGATGCTTGACGACCGGAATGAGTGACTCTCACGCTCAATGCGTGAGACTTTAGAGCCCTGGGTACGTAAGTAGGGAAATCTTATACCGTGCAGCCTTAACACAAAGCCTATTAATGACGGGCTATAATTAATGCAATAATTATACAGAGAGATTATTTAGCCTACGCTCATTTTTATCTGATTTGTACATTCCTCTGATTGAGAATGTCCTCAAATGGGCAGCATCAGTGAATCCTGTCAATTTCTTCCTACGTTTTATTTTATTGGGCTCATGACTGGGGGATGAGATAATTGTATATTATCATATTTCCTTTGATATAGCTTTAGCTGTTCTAGTAATTTGTAAATATATTTTCACGTCTATTTTGAACGTGTTATAAAACATTAAAATATTAGGTTGTGCACCATCAGAAGAGGTAACGAACCCCCGTAAAAGTTAACTGTTACAAAATTAAAAGCATCCTCTTACCTTTCTTCGCAGGTTCTGGTTTGGCTTTCAAGTCAGGGTGTTTAGAAATCTCTATTATTGGTAAATATAAAATAATAAAAAATTAATCAGCACAGGAAAATTCATCAACACAAGGGTAACATATTACTGTTAAATAGTCTATTATTTCACCTGCTTTCGTAACATTGAGAAGTACTTTAATCCTCTGTGCAGCCTTCTTAGGTTCATCATCTGAATTAAAAAGGCAAAGCTGATCAGTGAACAGTTTCACACAAAATAAACTGCGGAAATAGATAAAGCCACATATGAATCTATCTTTCCTTCATCAGGGTCCAGTCAGGCCTCTCTGGAACGTTCTTTTATTAGGCACTTCAAGTTAAACTAATAATTTACCAATATCAATTGCTAATATCATCATACTATTTTGTGATCTTTGCTTCCAGGCTTTCCATTACCTCGTTTAACACGCGTAGGTGTGATTTTTTCCTTTGGTTCCTGTACGGGCTCTTTATGAGCTGCCACTGGAAAACAAAACAAAACCTTGAAGATTTAGGTTTAAATAAAGATCAGTTTTTATGATGTTAAAAACTTATGATCTTTCTTTGAATATGTACCATATGTGCATCTGTTGTTATTGAAATAAGACATTATTGAGCGACTAAACTAAAAGCATCAGATCAACAAAAACATTCCTCATACCTTTCTTTGCAGATTCTTGTTTGGCTTTCACTTTAGGAGTTTCAGGAACCTCTATTATTGGGAAATATTTGAAAAAATGTAATTATTTATTCACCTTATCTTCATATTAAATGTGTGATTATAGGACTTTATGCACACAGTGATTCTAACAGATGGTTTGAGTCAAGGAAAACATTCAGATTCTTAGACATGTCATATTGATACACATTAAGTGGTTTTGTTGATTCCATAATAAAACCGTCCGTAGTGAGATTCCATTAATATGAATATATGATTGTTAGAATAGTTCTAAATACGGCTCCTCTCTTGATTGATTTATTGATGATATTTTAAAGCTTTACTGTCGTTTGCAATACTCACAATGTAGCTTTAAGTTCCCATTCGGTTACACTAACGGACCTTTTCCTCACCTGTCTTTGTCACAATCATGTGCTCCTTTTTCGGGATAAGAACTCTCTGCTTTTTGGCAGCTTTCAGCACCTCGACTGCCCTCTTGGGTTCCACAGCTGAAATTAACAGCAGAAAGTGACCATTTTCAGGTGAGGACAGGCTCTCGTTTTGTTTTTTATTTAACCAACTTGGTTGGACTGCGTCACTGAAATATTCATCAATTACTAATACTAATAAAAAATATCACAGTGATCAGAACTTTTACATAGTGTAATATCTCACCTGCGTTTGTGACATTACGGTGTTCCTTCTTCAGAACAGATGCAACCTCTTCCTTGACTACTTTAATCCTCCTCTCAGCCTTTTTGGGTCCAGCATCTGAATAAAAAATGTGAAGCTTTTTGACCAGTTTAACGTTGATTATACAGAGGAAGTATGCCCTCGTTCCAATGGAGATTGTCCTTCAAATGCAGTTTAAATGGTAAAATCTGTGAGCGTAGATTTGAAGGACTACTTTGGGAATATAAAACCTTTACAAAGTATACTTATTTTGTAGTATTAAAGTGATATTGAGCTGATGATATTATACACGCTCAACATCAATATGCAAGCGTTGACATAGAGAGACGTTAGCATGGCGATGTCTCCATTTTTGTCAATTGTTCAACCAGCGGCACCATCGTGTATTACAACCTGACGCTAGCATGTGCCTACCTTTCTTAGTATCACCAATCTGGACAGGTTGGTCTTTATGGGTCTTTTTGATTTCTTTCTCTGTGGAGGGTTTTGTTTGTTCTACGTTTTCAATAGATATTTTCTTTGCTTCCTTTTGCTCTTTGGGAGTCACTTCTCTCTGGTCTTTGGAGGGTTTCTCAGGGTCTTGTTCTTCAGAGAGCTTCTTTGGTTCATTTTCTTCCTTTCGAGAGAGTATTGTTGATTCCTTTCCATCTCTTGAAGGTTTCTCTTGTGCTTGTTTTCTTCTGGAGAGCTTTTTTGGAACTGCCTTTTCTTTGGAAGGTTTTGCTTGGTTTTTCTCCATTGAAGATTTCTTTGGGTCTCTTTCTTTCTTTATGGGTGTGATGACTTCTTTTTCCTCCACTGAAAGTATTTTTTCTTTTTTATCCCTCAGAGACGGCTTCTTGTCTTCCGTCCCTTTCTTTAAGTATTTTACTTCTTTGTCATCTTCAGATGGATTCTTAACCTCTTTTTTCTCTTTTTCTTTTGTAGGTCTCTTGATTTCTTTGTCCTCCTTCGGTGGCTCCCTTATTTCCTTTTCTTTTGAATGTTTCTTCAATTCTTTCCTTTCCTTGGAAGGCTCCCCTGCTTCCTTCAGTTCTTTGGGCTTCATTACTTTCGCTACAATTTCTTCTTGAGGCTTTTTCAGTTTCAATTGTAGCCTTTCTTTGAGTGATTTATTCTCATCTTTGTGAGACTTCATTTCAGTTAGTTCTTCTTTCAGAGGTTTTATCTCTTCTTTCTGTTCTTTAAGATGTTTCCTCACCTCTTTTTCTTCTTGAGATGGTTTTATCTCTTCTTTCTGTTCTTTAAGATGTTTCTTCACCTCTTTCTCTTCTTGAGATGGTTTTATTGCTTCTTTAACTTCTTTAAGTTGTTTCTTGGCTTCTCTTCCTTTTAAAGAAGATGTATTAACTTCCCTCTCCGCCCTTGATGGTTTGTATACATTTCTATGTACTTTCAATGGTTTGTTGGCTTCTTTTTCTTCTTTTGGCGAATTCTTTAATCCTTTTCCTCGGTTAGATAGTATCTTGACTTCTCCCTTTTCTCTGGATGGAGTGCTGACTGCTTTCTTTTCTTTGAGTGGTGTCTTGACTTCTTTCTCCTCTTCGGGTGGTGTCTTGACCTTTTTCTCCACTTTGGGTGGTGTCTTGAGTTCTTTCTCCTCTTTGGGTAGAGTATTGACCTCTTTCTTTTCTTTAAGTGGTTTCTTGTCTGCTTTCTCCTCTTTGGGTGGTGTCTTGACTTCTTTCTCCACTTTGGGTGGTGTCTTGATTTCTATGTCCTCTTTGGGTGGAGTCTTGATCTCTTTCTTTTCTTTAAGTTGAGTCTTGACTTCTTTCTTTTCTTTGGGTGGTGTCTTGACTTCTTTCTCCACTTTGGGTGGTGTCTTGACTTCTTTCTCCTCTTTGGGTGGAGTCTTGACCTCTTTCTTTTCTTTAAGTGGTTTCTTGTCTGCTTTTTCCTCTTTGGGTGGTGTCTTGACTTCTTTCTCCTCTTTGGGTGGAGTCTTGACTTCTTTCCTTCCTTTCGGTGGTGTCTTGACTTCTTTCT